GGACCCTGTTCCAGAGTGATGGTGCATCAGGGTAAGAAGAGAGGCAGATGAAGTGATGCACGCATCATGCCTAGTGCCTACTGTACAAGCCTGTGGGGGCAGTGCTATGATCCGGGGTTGCTGCAGTTGGTCAGGTCTAGGTTCAGCAACAGGATGTGCTCCAAGAATGAGGTCAGCTGACTACCTGAATATACTGAATGACCAGGTTATTCCATCTTCTCTGATGGCACCAGCATATTCCAAGATGACAATATCAGGATTCATCAGGCTCAAATAGTGAAAGAGTGGTTCAGGGAGCCTGAGACATCATTTTCACACATGGATTGGCCACTATAGAGTCCAGACCTTCACTCAATTGAGAAACTTTGGGATGTGCTGGAGAAGGCTTTGTGCAGCGGTCAGACTCTACCATCATCAGTGCAAGATCTTGAGAAATTAATGCAACACTGGGCAGAAATTAATCTTGTGACGTTGCAGAAGCTTATAGAAACAATGCCACAAAAACAATGCAAGCGATAATCAATGCTAAATGCGGTCCAATTAAATTTTACAGTTTGTGATGTATTTTTTGGGGTGGCGACTATTTATTTGGCCGGGAAGTGTATGTGTCCATGAACTGTAAACACACATTTTGGTGCCAAGAAAACGCTTATTTCGGACAGGCAGCAAAAGTAACTTTAGGTTTTGTGTGAAAACAAGTTTGGACTGCTCAAATTTAGCTTGATTCACCAAATTTACATAATCAAACTAGTAATCTTCACATCCTTTTTACTAGGACGACAGAAGGAGCATTAAACATGGAGAAAACCACTAATCTGGCTGTGTGGTAAGTAGCTAGCCTGACAAGCCAGACTAAATAAATGTATTATTTAGTCTGGTAACGCTCCATTGACGGCTCTCGGTTGTGGGGCGGGTTCTACCGTTGTCTTTCAAATGATCTCCGCATACTACTGGACAATGAATGTGACATACTGACTGCAGCAGCTATCGGTTAATGAGGCGGTCCACAGTTGAAGGAGAAAATACATAATTTTTTCTAAACAAAAAAAAAAGCATTTAAATACATCTCTCTGCTCCTGATTCTAATGGAGCCCAAGTTCTAATAGTCCACAATTGATGTAAAAGCCGTTTCAAACGAGCTGTCGCCATCTTGTTTCACTCTGTTGCATCATCCCACCCACCAGGCATATAGAGTGCCCTGATTGGCCCACAAAGCGGATAAAGCTCTGTGATTTGTTCACTAAGCCGATAGAGCACTATGACTGGCCCACTATTATGGACCAATCACAGCTCTTTATGTGTTTGAAACCCCTCTAGAGAGCTGTGATTGGCCAGCCAGAATGCTGTTAGGGGCTGCAGAGGTTCCAGTGGAGCGTTCCTAGACCAAACTTTGCAAAGGGTGTTTTGCGCGGGAGGTCGGCGCTGGGCTTCGGAGACCCAAGGCGGGGTTTAAAAAATAAAATGCGGATTTCTGGAGCTCAGATCACAGTCAGAACCGACCAGTAGAAGAGACGCGCGGCTCAGCGGGCCAGCTGGTTTCCGGGTTGGAACCGGATCAGAACCGCCGCCCGGACAACCAGGAGAGGATGCGTGGCTTTTAAAAATACCAGCTCGTTGTCTCACTCGTGTTTGGGTCAAATCCAGCTCACAGAAGCCCACATGACCTTCAGAACTGGATCACAGGTATCTCTCTCAGCTCAGCGGACCAGCCGAGCAAGCTTTCTGGGTCGGAACCAGATCAGAACCACCGTTGACCTCTATGGAAGGATCGTGTGCAGCTTTTAAAGATATCAGCTCAACTGGCTCGCTCATGTTTGGGTCGGTTCCAGCTCACAGAAGCCCACATGAGCTCCAGAACTGGATGGCAGGCGTCTCTCTCCCTATCTCTAAGCGCTAAACTACGATACGTGAACAGATACTAGCGAGTATGAGACCACTGACAGACGCTCATTAGTGTTAATATTATATTAACTGACCGACTCTATTTTAATTGTCTGGTACGCAATAGTAATCTGTACAATATTGTGATGTTAGCACACAAGTTTAAGCTAAAGCTAAGCTCTAAAAAGCCTAAATAATTTATGTTTGTGTAAAAAAATGTTTAAAACGAGTTTCTATTATGTTTCTCTAAACATTGGTTCATGGGAGTCTCTAACCTGCAATTTGCTCTTTAAGGCTTCTATTGGTCCCTGGGTAGGAGTAAGTGTGTTGAGTGGTTGTTTGACTTTATGTGTCCATGTGACCCCTGCCTGTCACTTGACGACTGCTGCACTAGCTCCCTGTTAGTGAGAATGAAGTGTTACGGATAACAAATGATTAAACATCCCTTACGGTAACCTAATGACACTTTGCAGCACTTCTACTCAAAGTAACACAAATATGTCAGTCCTTCCAGTGTTCCAAAACACTCAAATCCCTGGTTTAATCCAAATGAAACACTGGTCAAAACTAACAATAAGCAGCTAATAACAACCCAGCCAGAAAAGTAGAAAAACATAATAATCCCAGATCGGTTCTAAACTCATGTTTCATGATTGAAACGTTCAGGGACTCAAACCCCTCCTGCTTCCTTTTGGGACACTTTGTTATTTGTTCATAAACTTGGGTTTCAGAATCATTTTAGTGTAGTATTTTCATCAGAGACCCTTCTGAGTTTGGTAAAACAGCAGGGATAATCACAGGATGTAATTCCAACCCCATAAAATACTAACGCTAGTCTACTTAGAGTTGGTTGAATGTTATGTTATGTTGAAAAAACACAATTAGCTATGTGTAAGGACATCATACAGCACAATGTGCCTTGGGCTTCCTGACAGGGTTGTGGAAGGCGCTTTATAAATAAAGCTTTGATTGATTGATTGAATGTAAATGTGTGGGATTTGTACAGTAAATGTTTAGTGTTGTGTTTATTTTTGATTCTTCGCTCTTTCCATTGGAGGTTTATTACAGCTTTAGGTGATCTGTTTTGAGGATCACATGCAGCTGCCTCATATTATTTTATTGTAAATAAATACATAAAAAAATCTGTGGATTTAGTTAAAAAATCGTAGGAGAGTTACATTTCCGAAATGTTCAGCTGGATGGAGATTTGCTTTACACTGTGAGTTTACTCATTCCCATTCAGTCAAAAGATTAACACTGGGCGATTGGATGAATTAAGATAAGATAAGATAACCTTTATTAGTCCCATGCAGCCAATATCCGGGTTATGATCGGGTTAAGGTCGGGATTCGGGTTTCTGAGTTGATCAGAATATCCCGTTTATAAGCATAAATAGAAAGAGTTACCCCTAACTTGCATAACCCGATATAAATGCGGACGTTGGGGTAGCGTCAGGTTGTATGGACTACGTCCAGACCGCAATATGCGTCTTTCCGGTTCTTCTTGTTCCAGTATCCTTGAAAACAACATGTTTCCCAGTTCGGAAGAGATAGCGACCGCGTTTGTTTGCGCTTTAGTTTCCTCGTCACTCCAAAAGTGTGGTGCTGTGCCGCGACTCGCCATGTTGCTCCCAACTTGTTGTTTACTTCCGGTGTTCTGGCGCATACAAGACGTCTCGCTATTCAAAAGACCAAGATTCCTTGCGAACAGAGCATGCGCAGAACACACTCTTTGATGGGGATATCCCGGTATGCGTTTACACGACCAAACATTCGGGTTAGAAAAGGGTTACCCCAGGTGAAGTAACCGGGTTTTTAAAAACCCGGTTATGAGCATATCCGGGTTTTTGGCGGTGTTTACATGGACCTGCGGAACCGGGTTATTGTGAATATTCGGGTTTTAAAAGGGTTACTGGCTGCATGTAAACACACTCATTGACACACGCTAAGTATAAACAAACAACAGCACAGTTCCTACCCCTCCGGGGCAAATGCGACAACCAGGCCGAGGTGGGGGTGGAATGTGGGGGGCTGTTGGCTGTTCGGGGGCTTCAAAGAAGGGCCCCGCGGGCCGCCCATTGATTACCGCTGGGCTAGAGGCTAACGATGAGATAACAATGCTAACGGTGAATGATAAACAAATGGTCTCACCTTCACTCGTCATCTAGAATGGTCTGATGCTGATCCTGAAATGACAACAGCCATGAAACGGGAGGGAGACAGTCACTTGTGTGGTTTGAAAATGAACTGCATTACATTTTTACAGTGCGTTTCTCAGCAAAAAATTGTTACTTTTATATATCATCGTGCAGTTGGCGCAGTGATATTTTGGTTCTGTTGTATTTTTGCGTGTCCCCTTCATTTTCTTTCTCTCTCTCTTTATACAGGTCTAGAAGAAAATTCTTGTTCATCATTTATTAGTTTATTTTTGTGAAGCCCCTCCCACAGTCTCTGCCCCTTTCTCTAAAATGTCTGTCTCCGTTGGTATTTAAAACAACTGAAAATATTTCTAATAAAGTAAAAAAAAAATGAAAATGGACTACAGTACCTAATTTTGACCACAGGATGTCCTTCTTACTTCATTCCTACATCATGCACCTTTAAAATTCTGTAGCGATTAGAGAAGCAAAATCTTGTCCACAAAAAAACTATAATAATAGAAGGAGAATGTCTCTGATCAGGATTTTTGTCCTGATGCCGAACTTCGGAGCAGAACAACCCTCGAAGAGTTTATCTTTGTGACTGCAAAATCCAAGAGGCTTAAATTGTGTCTGTCAATTTATTCCCTCAATCTGTGTTACTTTTAAATGGAAATTCACTTTCTCAAGCCTATAATTTTTCCTCTGGAGTCACCTTGGTGTAGATTTAAATTAGACTGTCATCTGTTTTTGTTTATTTGTAAAAGTTGGAGGAGAAAAACAGAATGTGTTCAGAACATGTTTTAACTTCATTATCTGGTGAGAAAACTTAGCAGGTTGTTTTCTTATCAAACAGAGTCGATGTTTAGATAGGCTGCAGTTGTGTTTTCTTTTTCAAAGGCTAATTTCAGCTGTCAGTTTGCTCTACTCTGATATAATGGCCCTATCTTCTGCTTTTCTCATCTCCTTTTCATCAAGTCAGAGACTCCCCAAGCCAAGTCTGACACCAAATCTCTGTTCTGCATAAAGACCAGTCCGGTGTTTGAACTGAAGCCTTGTTGATGAACAGCTAAAGGTGAAAAATGCATCAGCTTCAGGATTAAGTTCAGATTTTATATTAGAGACCGACAGTGTGTCAGTGAAACATGGTCTCAATTTGTGTTTTGCACCGTTTGCACACTGATGCAGAAGAAATTAGCCACCATTACAGAACAGTTGCAGCAGTAATCAGAAGGTAATGCAACAGACCATAGTGACCCTAATCAGATCTGCCATAGCTATTCTCCTAATAGATGCTACAGGCATGATGCTCAGTAGAATGTACAAGAGTGTAGTCTGAAGAAGGTAGAGAGAAGATAAAAAAAAATCTCACTTTATAAATAAAATGAAGATTAAATTAAACAGTGTTTTCCTTTAAAGGTGAAAAAAGCATCTTTATCCAAGAAATTCTCACAATTCCAACCCAAATTTCCGGACTTCTAAGATTTCAAGTCCTAGTGAGCCGCTCTGTTTTTGCTATCCAACCTCATGTACACCACAGTGCCTGCTATGATGAGTTCTGCTCTAAAACAAAGAGAGTTACAACTTAAAAACCTAGAAGTGTTTGCTTTAATTGAAAAACAATTCTGGCTTCTGGCTTTCAAACTACTGATACTCTGTTTTTGCAAACTAAACACTTTCCCTTCATTAATGATTTATAAGTTTAGCTGCCAATAGAAACATCTCTGTGGTTTAAAAGGCTTAGAAGGCTTCAGTTTTAATTTTGAAATCATTTAGCTTCTCATTTGGGAAGTTTTCTCAATTCACTATTAAAGGCCCAGTGTGTAATATTTTTACTTGTTTACTAGAATATTCTGTGTATCCCGTTCAAAAACTTGTTTTTTTAACTAATATTTCCCGCCAACGTTCACTCATATTGGCTTAAAATCTTACATTTTTGATTACATAAATTGTGGTCAACAGTCCATACTCATGCACGATCTTGAAATATTGTAGCTTTTAAATGACTTGCAAGATACAATGTTTCGCGTTTGCGCTTTAACATGGTATAACCTGAAAGAAACAGCAGGGGGCAGCAGTACGCCCTTGAAGCATGCAGTCTGCCAAACCAGCTATGAAGAAGAAAAGAATAGATAAACTGTTGCTGTTCTCAGTTAGCATATAATCTAGACCTGCAAAAGGATTTAGCTCTTTTTTTGGTCTAGCCACGCTTTCTTGGAACCTCCGTGGCCCTTAATGGTCTGGTTCTGATCTAATGACAGTGCTTTGTCAGTTTAGTCTGTGGGATGTTACTGTGACTGTGCGAAACTAAGACGACTCCTTTGACATGGCTTTGGCAACAACTTTGGACTATTTAGACTTGGGCTTTTCATTGAGTCAAGAACAGATGGAGGTACTTAACTCATTCGCTGCCAGCTGTTTCCTGATTGGTAAAGCCCTTTGCTGGCAGCGTTTCTCACCATTTTTACGTTTTTTTTAAGAGTCACAGAACATTGTGCGCTAGGATGATGTCAACACCAAAACAACCAAAACAAAGTGGAGACTCACCTCTTACATCAGGAAGAATCCGTGCGTTTCGAGCGTTATCCGTTCTTTCATAATCCGTTGTTGAAATGTGATCGGCAGAAGCTTTTCCGGTTCACACCTCACTTTTTTTACTCCAGCGACCCAAAACGATCTCATAACACATGGATTTTCCGCTTCCTGGTCACGTGACGTGTGACGTATGCGGATGAAGATCGGCTTCAGAGCTGAAATGTTTGTTCTCACGGTGCGGGGGCTCGTTCCAACGCCCACACAGTAAAAACATGCAAATGACGACTTTAGTCATCAATGGCAGTGAATGAGTTAAATCTATTCAGAAAAAGGATGTATTTGCGACTACTTCGACAATAAATGGCAGACTGACATGTTGACTGGCATCTGTAGTAGTGAGTATGCTATATTGTTCGTTGTCCAATAGCATGCAGAGACAGTTTTAAAGATGACCATAGATCTCTGGGTCGGGCTAGAGGACTCCAAAGTGCTTTACACTACAGTGTATCATTCATCCATTCACACACACACTGACACCCTGGTTGGAAGAGCTACAATGTAGCCACAGCTGCCTTGGGGCACACCGACAGAGGTGAGGCTTTCCAAGCACTGGAGTCACCGGTCCCTCCGGCCACCACCGTGGTGGGTTTAGTGTCTTGCCCAAGGACACAACCAGATATAAAAGTCGAGGTGATCGCTTCTTCCAGACTGTTGCACCCAGACTCTGGAATGATCTTCCTTTATCCTTACGCAGCATTGACAGTCTGGACACTTAAAAAAACAGCTAAAGACCCTTTTATTTAAAGCTGCTTTTACCTAAACCTTTTATTTTCTTATTTTTAACTCAGATTTTTAATCTTTCATCTGTTTATGAAAATTGATAAATTTATGACTTTTTCTGATGTTAATCTGATTTTGTTTTGAGAGCATTTTGATTTTATGATATTAATCTGTTTATGATTTTATGACTTTGTTTTATTTTGTTTTGATCTATGTGAAGCACTTACTTACTTACATACTTACAACAGCAGCATTCTCTGGCTGGAGCGGGGATTGAACCTGTAACCTTCTGATTACTGGACAACTCGCTCTACCTCCTGAGCTACTGCTGTCAGATAAATTCAGATTTATAGGATGGCTAGCCAGGCTTGTACTCTGTTAGTTTCAATAATGGAGAATCACACATAATGCGCGTGGGCTACTGTAGCTGCAGTACCTACTCCGAACTGCGTGGTGCTAAAGAGTCAATTGTTTTTACACACTGGACCTTTGAGTGTAGTCTTCACAGAAGCATAGTGAGTCAGCCCTCTTTCGCAAACAAAATTGACACCACTCTGCTTCCCAAAACGTATGAGTTTGGCTCAGCAATAATACTGTTTACAAGCCTGTGGTTTTAACTAGGAAAACATTTTTTTTAATTCAAAATGAGAAATGTGGCGTTTCAGGCATTCAGCCTGTAGTTCACTTCTGTTCTTTGAGAGCTGAACTCAAATACTTTTCTCTTTTATTAATTATTGTCACTGCTGTTTCCATTAAATCTTTATACATGGGAAATTTGCTAGTTCCCAATCAACATTAACAATAAAAATTATTTTATCATGAGTCATATTAGTTATTAAATCACATTTTCATGCTTTTAGGAGCGAAATTATTCTAAAACCACCTTTTCATGAAAGTGCACACTAAGTGCAATATGAAGATGATAATAATAATAATTGACCTGGTGTATTTCCAGGTAAGATAATGGAATGTATTTGATAGACTGATGGAGGAGTCTATTTAGCCTTAACTGAAAAGACTAAGACATGCTGTGCCAGCATGGCAACAATAGTTTCAATAAAGTTTTTAATTGAAAAGAAAAGAAATGCCTTTGTCTTAATATTTATGACAACCCTAACTAAAAGGACCAATTACTTCACCACAAGTAGCTCTTAAATATTGTGCATTATTGATCAGTCTCCCAGAAACCATTGGACACTATTAGTATTTACATATAACTAATTATGCAGTCTACAACACTGGAGAACACAAAATAAACTCTGCTTGTCCACTTGTCTCTTCAGATGCTGTTTCTGGCTGTACAGAGACGATGGTCGGCTGAACTCTGAGCTCACTGATTGGCTCACTGAGCTTCACTGGTTGCTGCTGCTGTCATGGCCAAAAGCCCGGAGGTCAAGCTGGCTGTCTTTGGCAAAGCAGGCGTGGGAAAGTCAGGTAACGTGTGTGTGTGTGTGTGTGAGTGTGCACGTGTGTAGAAAATTTGTTGGACTTAGAATCTTTTTGATCTACTTTCTACCTAATACTTTAGAAGATGATATTGTTAATATATTGTAAAAAAGCAGATTATGTCTTTACTTCATGGAATTATGATAAATTGATTCTAAAACATTTTGAAATACATGACTGGATTATTGTACCAAAACTCTGTTATATCATCTGTCTTTCTTGTTACCTATCAAGCTGACTTTAGCGTTGGAGTTGCATACTCAATTTCATGGTGGGCAAAGTTTAAACCTTGGTCTGTGCGGAGGATCAAAATGTCAAATTAAATGCTCCTTTATGACCTTTAAATTTCCATACACTAAATTGGTCATGAATATTCTGGCATAAATTAAGAAAGGCACAGGCTAATCCACGTCTGCTGTTAACCATAGATTGAAATGTGAGACAAGGTTTAAATAATGACAATACGCTTTATTTAAAGACAACTTTCATAGCATCCAAAGTAGGGCTGCAGCTATCGAATATTTTTGTAATCGAGTACTCTATCGAATCTTTTTTTCGATTAATCGAGTACTCTATCGAATCTTTTTTTCGATTAATCGAGTACTCTAATAAATTACCTTTTTGTGTTTGTAAACCTTTATATCATATATTGATGAGCCAAGATGGCGCCGAGTATGGCTGCCTCGTCGCGAGCTCCACCAAGTTCCAACATTACACGCGCTCCATACTGTACATTTATGCCACTGTTTTGCACATACCAACCTCTGTACATTTTATATCTCTTATCTTATTGTTTACTTTATTCATTTGTATACTTAGATTAGCCATTTTTATATTTTACTTGTTTTTACATTACTGTATTTGTGCACAACTCTGTTGCTGTGAAGCTCGCACACAAGAATTTCACTCGCATGTACTGTACCAGTGTACCTGCACGTGACGTGACAATAAAAGTGATTTGATTTGATATCAAATAGCATGTTATAATTATGAAAGACCTCTTAAAATGAGCAAGGCAATTGCCAGTTATTCAAGTTTTATTCAAAATTAGTTTGCATAACTTCAGCACTTCAACTTTACTTCACAGTAAACAAATGCCTGTGCAAAAAATAAGTAAACCTGAGCCGATTTTCCCCTCGTGCGAGAATCTGCTAGCCTGCAAGCCAGACAAAAACTAGGAGGATAACGCTGCGAGCGGCTGCGGCCCAAACAGAACCAGAACCGCTCACGGCGCAAACAGCTCGCCGGCTGTTTCCCTATTAACACACGTCCGTTTTAATTTCCACACTTTTTTTCTCACACTAACAAGGATTGCCAAAAGCATGTTTGCTGTGGTTTTGTCAAATTATACTGATCACAAAACATGTATTTACTTCTTTCGTTTTCCTCCGCCACTCATAAATACCCGTGTCCTCCTGCAGAAACCCCGAGGGACAACAGACATCAATAACACAATAAAAAGTCCGACGTGTTGTGTAAAAACTGCTATTTTTAGCACATTTTAAGTCCGACGTGTAGTGCTACCAGATGTAAGGTGTGAGCTGAAACTGAGCGCTACAAACGAAAAAGTCGCAGAGTCCGCAGAATATATAGAAAAACAGGCTAAAAAGCATTATCTTGTAGAGGCTCCGAGTCCGCTTGCAGAAGTGACATTTACAGGTGCTGCAGCACGGAGGGTGTGGTGTTGTGCTAGGCTAAATCCATTTTACTGTATTTATACTGGACTACGTTTTCCACCTTACGACGTGAAAATGGTTCCACAACTTTGACATTTTCTGTCTTTTTCGCACTCCATCGGGGTTCAAGTTGTCCGCCATGGCTTAAGAGAAAGTTAAGTTATATTCGCTACTCGTGTGTGCATTCAGTCCAGTGGGCATGTGCGTCACTTATTTCGGTCCGGGTGAAACATGACCCCGGGCGATTGCAAAGCCATGAATTAATTAAATATGAATTAAACGAATCCTCGAGGCAGAGAATTTGACTCGAGGATTTTTTGTACTCGAATTATTCGAGGTACTCGAGGAATCGTTTCAGCTCTAACTGACTTAAACACAAGTTTGGGAGCCAAGAGGTAACCAGCACTCTGGTCCCTCGTCTGTTAAAAACCTCTAAAAGCTCTTAAGCTTCTCTAAGCTTAAAGAACTAAAACCCATTTAAAAGCCATTAAAACACCAATAAATGGAGCACATGAGAGAACTGGCACAGATCCAGTCTCTCCCTTCCTCCTGGCAGCTCTCCTTTTATGCTGCTCAGGAGGTGATCAGCCCAAGTGAGTGCAGCTGTGCAGGTAGGAGGAGGAGGCAATGCACTGATTGTCCTCTGCAGTGTCTGTTTTCTGAGGTTAACAGCAACAGCTGTAACAAAACAAACGTACTGCATGCTAGAAATTAAGTCCGGGTTGCAATAAACGGGAGTTTCCTTTAAGCACATAAGCGTGAATATACAACTACGTGTCGGACTTGGTATGCTAATTAAGTTGGGCTGTGAAGCGCCTCCCAAATTTGCTGTTTTTGTTTATTTATTTGGCAGACAAAACTTGGATCGGAGACAACTCGCGTGGGAAATTGCAATGTAGCCATGCGGCGTCTTCTTCTGTTTGTCTGGGAGGCGGAGGTTGCTTTACGGCATCTGGCTGTCGTGCGTGTCGGTGTACTTGAAGAAGGCTGTGTATAATAGTCCATAATATCGATACCACAGGGATGGAATATCTAATTTAGATACCACTTTTAGTATCGATTTATATCTAGGTATCAATTTGTTTGACAACACTAATATATATACAGTTGTGGTCAGAAGTTTACATACACTTGTAAAAAATATAATATGATGGCTCTACTGAGTGTCCCGTTATTTCTAAAACTCTGATTTTTCTCTGATAGAGTGATTGGAACAGATACTTCTTTGTCACAAAAAACATTCATGAAGTTTGGCTCTTTAATGTCTTTATTATGGGTTAACAGAGAAAAGTGATCACATTTGCTGGGTCACAAATATACATACAGCAACATGAACTAGCAATTTTGGTGACTTAGAAACGTGTCAGTGAACTGAGCTTCATAGCATGGCCTCTTAACTTCTTGTGAGTGATTATGAGTGACTACAGCTGGTGACTTCTCTTAGGCTAGGTAAATAGGGCTCATTGGATACAAACGCCCACAAACGCTACAATGGGAAAGTCAAAGGAGCTCAGCATGGATCTGAAAAAGCGAATTATTGACTTGAACAAGTCAGGAAAGTCACTTGGGGCCATTTCAAAGCAGCTGCAGGTCCCAAGAGCAACATTGCAAACAATTGTTTGTAAGTATAAGGTGCATGGCACTGTTTCATCACTGCCAAGATCAGGAAGAAAACGCAAGCTATCACCTGCTGCTGAGAGAAAATTGGTCAGGAGGGTAAAGAGTGAACCAAGAATCACCAAAAAGCAGATCTGCCAAGAATTAGAAGCTGCTGGAACACAGGTGTCATTGTCCACAGTCAAACGTGTTTTGCATCTCCATGGACTGAGAGGCTGCCGTGCAAGAAGGAAGCCCTTGCTCCAAAAGCGGCACCTTAAGGCTCGACTGAAGTTTGCTGCTGATCACATGGACAAAGATAAGACCTTCTGGAGGAAAGTTCTGTGGTCAGACGAAACAAAAATCGAGCTTTTTGGCCACAATGCCCAGCAATATGTTTGGAGGAGAAAAGGTGAGGCCTTTAACCCCAAGAACACCATGCCTACAGTCAAGCATGGTGGTGGGAATATTATGCTGTGGGGCTGTTTTGCTGCCAATGGAACTGGTGCTTTACAGAGAGTAAATGGGATAATGAAGAAGGAGGATTACCTTCACATTCTTCAACCTAACCTCAAATCATCAGCACGAAGGTTGGGTCTTGGGCGCAGTTGGGTGTTCCAACAGGACAATGACCCCAAACACACATCAAAAGTGGTAAAGGAATGGCTAAATCAGGCTAGAATAAGGGTTTTAGAATGGCCTTCCCAAAGTCCTGACTTAAACCCCATTGAAAACATGTGGACAGTGCTGAAGAAACAAGTCCATGTCAGAAAGCCATCAAATTTAACTGAATTTCACCAATTCTGTCAAGAGGAGTGGTCAAAGATTCAACCAGAAGCTTGCCAGAGTGGATGGCTACCAAAAGCGCCTAATTGAAGTGAAAATAGCTAAGGGACATGTAACCAAATATTAGTACTGCTGTATGTATATTTGTGACCCAGCAAATGTGATCACTTTTCTCTGTTAACCCATAATAAAGACATTAAAGAACCAAACTTCATGAATGTTTTTTGTGACAAAGAAGTATCTGTTCCAATCACTCTATCAGAGAAAAATCAGAGTTTTAGAAATAACGGGACACTCAGTAGAGCCATTATATTATATTTTTTACAAGTGTATGTAAACTTCTGACCACAACTGTATATATATATATATATATATATATATATATATATATATATATATATATATATATTAGGGCTGGGGGTAAACGATTATTTTTAAAACGATTATTCTGACGATTATTTTATCGAATAGTCAACTATTCTAATGACTATTTAGACAATTAATCTAATGATTATTTTTCTATTGCACAATTAACAAAAACCAGAAAATCTCAAATAAATTCCTCAAAAAAATTGATAAATTCTTACTGTAAGAGAATAAACACTACAGGCCTTCCATTTTGTATAACACTGCTTTTATTGTGTTGGTTGGTTATGTTCTGGTGACGTGTAGAACTTGGGAGTGCAGGCTGCTGCCTGAGAGGTGGTAGAAGATGGAGTGTCTCCATGCTGCTTTGTTTTGGTCACTTATGTGCGTGAGGCGAGTGGTCTTACGGGTTAAACCAAACTCAGGTGATATTTTACACTAAACCGAAAACCCACAACACTCTAAATGTAATAAAAGGGAGATCTACACCACAAAAAAGATTAACTCTAAACCAAAACGTAACAGCTTATCCCAACGCAAGAAGCTGTTAGCGAAGATGCTAAC